AAAAAAAAAAAAAAAAAAAAAAAAAAAAAAAAAAAAACAGTCTCAAGGGAGTAATAGCTAAAAGGGGGACTAGGAGCTTCTATGCCAACACCTTTGTTTTAGAGAGAAAAAGACAGTTGAAAGGGCATGCTAAGGGTCGCACTGTACCATTACCACCTGTCGATCCCAGGTTTTCAAATTCTACTGATCTACGATAGCATAACCCTCTTCTTACAACAGATGTTTGGTTTTTGACATTTCTTCCAGGTCTTGGTATTGGAGAGATTTCTGTGCCCCTAATTCTCATATCTTTGTCAATCATGTTCTTGAAACAAGAAATAATGCTTGGGATGTAGAATATATTCAATAAACTCTGACTAAATACATGGATGAATAAACAAGCAGAATCTGAACTCCTTCACGGAAGCCTGATATTTGGGTTAAAATGGGACAAGGCACCTTCTTATCCCAACAACACAGTAGGCAAACTATTCTGGCAGACTTACCTAAAATCTTCCTAAGAATTTCATGCCAAGGAGAGGTCATAGCTCATTCCTCAAACCTCATTTCTACCCCATTATGTGTCTTCCTCACCCAATCCTACCTTTTTGAGCTTCCATCAGTCAGAGATATGAATGTTCTTTGTTCCAAGGATGCTGAGAATCTTAATGCACTATATCGGGAGTGGCCTGGTGTGCATTTTCTACTCCTGGGACTAGTCCAGGTTCTAGTCCCTCTCAGTCATCCATCCATTCATACATCTGACAAATGTTTACTGAGCATCTATTAGCCTACTACAATATAGGCGCTGTATGTGGTGCTGGAGCAAGTGTGAATGATGTTCTCAAAGAACTTCCAGTGCAGCCTGTCTCTGCACCCATCACCTACCTCCTCCATTATCCATCATCTGGTCTTTTGCTCCCAGAGATCAAAATCCTCTCCTAAATTCTAGATTTAGCACATACAATTTGTACCATCTTTTCTGCTCTCAATTTCTGAATCCTCCTCCGCTTCCTGTTTCCATCCTAACCCCATCTGTCTGGACAGTTCAGAATCTTTCCCACAGCTCTCTAGAGTTTGGCTGATGGGGTCCCTCATGCCTGTTTTCCTTTTCCTCACATTTCAGTTGAAAGCAACTTTCTCATATGAACCTTCCTGGATTAATCATACCTAATACTGATATCAGAACTATATTTTATTAAGTTAGATGCTAGGGGTATAACAGTCAGTAAGAAGTTCCAGCCCTGAAAGATCCTAGCGATCTGGTCTGGGAAGGCAGTAGTAATGAGGTCCTTGTCCCTACTGTGCCTTAGGGTATATTTAAAGTCTAGTCAGCTTGTGGTAAATCCATGTCTGAGTGACAAATTTTCTTCTGTTAGCCTGGGAGCAACCTGAAAATAAAAACCATGTCTGCTTTTTAACTTGGGGTCAACTCCCTATTGGGATAAGGTACTCACCTAACTAAGACTGGGATCTTGGGCATCTTCTTGGAGACTTTAAAGAAACTCGTGTCCCCTTTGTTGTCGGTGAAGTATACACCAGCCACACTGGTCACAAGGTTCCCAGGGAATGTGAACAGAACCCTTTCATCCTCACCCTGGTTGGCCCAGTCCCAGGCTTGGCCTCCTATGAGCAAGCCCCCTCCGCGTTTCATAAACTTGACGAGCTTTTCCGTCATGGTTTCATTGTAGGCATCAACACAGTAAACCCCCAGGGAGTCTTTCACTTCTGGCTCAATCTTTGCCTCCACTCCAGAGCCCTCAAGGATTTTGGCCAATGGTGCCAGGGACGGGTGTACACCAATGGGAGCCCCAGGGGAAGAGCAAAGCCACCCCACAGCGTTGAGGAGAAAGGGGGTGAGCTGGGCTTCCACCAAGTAGTCCTCATGGGATACGACCACCAGGCGGCCTCGGCCATAGCAGGAAGCAGCAATGAGCACCTGGCCCATGTCATTCACCATCACAGGAAATGAGGCCTCTCCAATAAGGAGCAGTTCACACGGGACAGCATCTTCGGGGACATCCCAGCTTGTCACTCCATTCATAAGGGCCTCAAAGGCAGCAGAGGGAGTCGCCATGGTTCTAGTGGTTTCTGCAGAGAAGAAAGCAAAGACTCAGCTTGGTGAAGAATGAAGAAAGACACAAAGAAACAAAGAGAATACTCCTCCATTAGCGGATGAGAGGCACACTGTGAAATGACTCAAGCACTTGGTGTCAGTGTCTGCAGTCCAGGAGACCTCATCGTGCCATGTCCTCTTAAACTCTTGTGGTCACTCTTAGAGAGCTTTACACTTTTCTGTCACTGAAGGAAACAAACAGAAGGAAGGAACGAGAGTGGAATTGTGTCCCCAAAGAGATATTTTGAAGTCCTAACCCCTAGTACCTGTGAATGTGACCTTATTTGGAAATAGAGTCTTTGAAGATGTAATCAATTTAAGATGAAATAATACTGGATTCAAATGGACCCTAACCCCAGGACTGATGTCCTTATAAGAAGAGGAAATTTGGACATAGAGAGACAAAGATACACAGGGGAGAATGCTATCAGAATATGGAGGCAGAGACTGGAGTGATACGTCTTCCAAGCGACACCAGGAATTGTTGGCAAACACCAGAAGCAAGGAGAGAGCCTGGGAACAGATTCTGCCTCAGAACCTCCAGAAAGAACCTGCACTGCTGTTTTGAAACCTGGATTTCAAATGTCTAGGCCCCCAGAACTGTGAGAGAATAAATTCCTGTTGTTTTTAAAATATTCGTGTTATTTTAAGCCATTCTGTGATAATGTGGAACTAATACAGTGGTGTAGCACACTGTCCCCCCACGCCTATTCTACCCCTCATGGCTCCCACATTGATTTTAGTAATTCCCATTTGCAAAATCCAGAACTTCAGTCTGAAAAGTCTGGGCTGTCAGAGAAGGTTCTTTGGTCAAAGTCATAGGTTGGGAAAGAGGAAAGTGGAAGCCCTCTGTGGCATGAATCCAAGTCCCAGAAAACCAGGAGCAGAAAGTAACAAGTTATGAAATTATAGCAGGTTTTTACTTGCACATGGGACACAGCTGGGAAAGGTGTGCTTGTCCATGGATGTGAGCTCACAAATATCCTCTGCTTTCCACCATGAGCTCCCCCTTAAGGATGCTCTACCGTCTGACCAATGCTACAAGTGCTTCACTGAAACAGCTTCCCCAAGGACAGAGATGCTTTCACAAGCAGGACACCCAGAACTTCTTGCCCTCACTGCCCACTTGGCGGCACTGGACATCCTGCTCTTCCAGGCCACGAGGCTCACACTGCCTCTCATACTGTGGCCCCAGCCAGCCTCTATCTTCTGCCTCTGTGACCACTTGTTTTCTGTCCTTCCCTCACCTCTTCTTTGAATATATAGATATTTCTTGCCTTTTTAATCTTTGGTCCTTACCTCTTCCCATTTTATTTCCCTTGTCAGAGAATATGCTCACTGTCAAGGTAACATGCAAAATGATTCCAAGCTCTGGCTCCGGAGTTAAGACTGCCTGAGTCTGAATCTCAGCTCTGCTGCTTACTAACTGGTAGACTCAGGCAACATACCTCAGACTTAGCTTCCTTAGCCATTCCATAGGGATAACAGTATCTACCACATGAGGCTGTCCCGAGGATTAAAGGAAATAGCACAGGTTAAACGTCTTTTCACCAGTACCCATTTATGTGTGTGTGTGTGTCTATGTATATATATATATATATATGTATATGTATATATGTAAAAGTACACACACACATATATGCTTAAAATTATTTGGTTAAGACTAAACCATTTAACTTGTACATGAATACTCGGGAATTCTTGCAAAGTGAAAAAAAAATATCTAACCTAATGTTAGGTTTTACAAACACTAGATTTAGCTATATCGATTCTGATTTTATGGTTTTCACATTCTGGAGCCAATACTACATCTACTGCTAGTACTTACGCTAATTATTATTATATTTATTTCTCAAGTACCTCTGCGGGCCCTGGAGAAAGTCTTGATGTGGGCACTGTGCCTTCCACAGGCCATGGGTGAAAAGGCCCTGGTCCTGGTGTAACGAATAAACTCGAGATCACTAGTGATAGAGCACACAGGCCATTTACAACTGGTCTCTAAAATGAAGGATGTCTTACATTTATTATTTTTCACTCCAAATTAAGGTACTATATTATTTAAGTTTATTGTTTTGCCTCCAAATAAGGTAAATTCCTCAAGCTCGATGCTTCTAATAGTTAAATAGAAGCATTAAGTACCTACCTACATCAGAGACCTGTAGAGAAGACACAATCAGGAACCCTTGGTTAATGAGAAGCTTGTCCCTGCTCTGCTTCTCCTGGTGTCCACAATAAAAAGGACAACAAACCACACAGAGTCACAGTGTGTCCTTTCTCCATCCTGTTTCCCTATCCAGCAGGTCACACGTCTTGTCAATGTTCTTGTTCAATGTCCTTGTTAGGCTAGTTTAGGTCCTTGGTAATTCATGTCTGGACTAAACTGATCCAGTTCCTAAGTCACCAGGATCTGTTCCCACATTTATTCTTCTAAAACTACTCTAATCATATTATTTCCCTGAAGAAAATACCCCAGAGCTTTGCCTTTTCCACAGGGAAAGAGTTTACAGCAGTCCCCTCTTATGCATGGCAGATACGTTCCAAGACCCCCAGTGGATACCTGAGATTGCAGATAGCACCAAACCCTGTATATACTATGTTTTTTCATACATCTGATAAAGTTTATAAATTAGGCACAGTAAGAGACTAACAAAAATAACTAATAATAATATAGAACAATTGTAACAATATACTGTAATAAAAGTTGTATGAATGTTTATTTCTGGAATTTTCCATTTAATATTTTCAGATCACAGGACCATGGATAAGGGAGGGCTACTGTACTTCATCCATTAACTAATAATATTAATCCATTAATAGCCTTTCTTATAGAAGTAAGAATGGCAGTATTAAAGATGTGTGCACAGGATTAATACCTGCCACACACAAAACTACAAGTGGAGACAGATAAACGAAAACATAGAAATGGAGCAGACAGGTCAATGATAAGTTATATTCCTAGAGCTATTTTTGACTCTGGTATGTAAGGCCTTCAGGGCTGGCTGCTCCTTAAGTTTTCCAGGCTTATCTCTTGCTATGTCCCTCCTGGCAGCTTTCAGTCTGTCTGGCATCCTTGGACATGCCCTGCTTCCCTTCCAGATTCTCTTTCCATTCTCTTTTCTTTCCGTTCCCTCTCCCACATCTTTCTATCTATGGAAATCCTATCCTTCTAAGACAAGATATGCACAGAAGAGGAAATTTGAATGATCACTTCAATCTCACCAGTAGTTAAGCATTGAAAAATATATATTTCCCAGTAGATTGTCAAAAGAGAAGAACTAGGAGGAAGAGGAGGAAGAGGAGGAGCAAGGGAATCTGAAGAAGATGACAAAGGTGGCTAATAATGTGTTGGAAAGTCTATGGGGACACTTACAACAATCTGCTGCAAGGACTGAGAAGTCTGCACTCTTTTTCAACAGAAATCTGACAGTGGCAACTTGGATTCAAAGGTATACCTATCCTTACACCAAGCTCTCCCTCTTCTAACAACCTTTCATATAGAAATAAGCAGTATTAATGATGTATCTATAAGGATGTTAATTGCCACACGAAATTACAAATGGAGATAGGTAAATGCAAACACAGAAACAGAGAGAGATAGATCAATGACAAAGAATGTTTCCTAGAACCATTTTCAACTCTTGTGGGTGCAGAATCTCTAACCAAAACCCACACCTCTCCAACTTCCACATATCCCCCAGATACCCCATTGTGCCCAGCATTAGACCCTGTGGCAGACACACACAACCACCCACACTCACGCCATAAAGAGCTGCCCATCAGACCCCTTCTCTCTAGGCCTGTTCCTCCTCCAGTTCTGTATGCCAAGCTCACCCAGAGCAGGGAACTCACATTTCTGTCTCACTAGTTGTTCTCTGAGCTAGTTCAAGGATAAGTTAAATCTATTTTGCATCTACCTAGTTGAATGTCCTAGATGTATTTTAAGTGAAAATTTTAGGTCACTATGATATGTAGGACATGAACCCATTTTTGTATGGACAAAGATAATGATAATAATAGTAGTAGCAGTAATTGTAGTAGTAGTAATAATAACAATACAATGCTTACCAGGTTTCTGGCATCACTATAAGTGATTTAGGTAACATATTTAATCCTGACAATAAACCTTTGAGGTATGTACTGACATGTACTATCTGTATTCCCATTTTATACAAGGGCAACAAACAAACAAAACCAACTCTGATGCCCAGAAAATTTGTTACTTGCTCAAAGTCACATAGGTGGTAAGTGGTTTATCCAGGATTCAAATCCAGGAAATGTAGTGCTGGAGTCCACATTCTTAAGCACCAGGAATATATAAGTACTTGTTAAGTACCATACTTTTATACACATAGAAAATCCATGGAAGCTACAGTTCAACAAGCTAGCACTGATTATCTCAGGAAGGAAAGAGGCGAACCTTTTTCTTTGTCTTTATGTAAGTCTGCATCCTTTGAATTGTTGTATTACCATTACAATTAAAGAGAACACTGTGGTAATATAAATTCAATGAAGCAAGTAAACACATTAAATGATTAAGTGTATAAGCGATTAGACAGATTGATCAACTGATCCTATCTCACTGGCCCAAAAAACTCTTCCTTCACCTCCCATCACACTGTGCATTTGCCCACCTATAAATTTCATTTCCTCTTCCATGGAGGGTCTTTGAACTCTGCAGCTGGTTCTGTTCCCACTTTAACTAGCCTTCGCTGACTCCAACATTTGACTTTTGACTCAAACTCTACCTCATGCCTGAATCCCTGTTTGTTTCCCTAGCTTGGGGAGCCCATATGGGCACAGCCTGAGGAAATGCCCTTTTATTTCTCTCCCTGACTTCTCCAGTGGTTCCTGCTTTCTCTCTTCTGGGCCTACTCTGGCCCTTCTTAGTTTGCTGGAAACAAAGGCACCTCCAAAGCAGAAGGTACCCCAGCCATAACCTGTAACTCGGGGAGAGAGCAGAGCTTCTTTTTAAAATTTTA